GGGGGTACCAAAATCTTAGTACTATAGGTACGGGAAAAAATTACATTTTATAACTATTGTTGAATATTGAATGTTTTGTGCCCAGATTTTAAGTTTGGAAAGAATTGCTTTACTATAATTATTAAATCAACACAAGGTATATGTTTTAGTCTGACTCAATGTCAGATGATAAGTAGGATTCAGTATCCGTTGAACTTTTGGAGTACAAATCTGATACACCTGAATTGTCAATGCTAGCAAGCTCACACCGGCATTAGAACTTGATGATGAAGTGTCACATTGAATGGAAGCAAATTTTTTCTATTTGAAATAGACCAAAAACAAATTTTTCTGTTTGATCCTATTCTCAGCCCATCGCTAGTATGTCAGAATCTGAAAAGACTGGTGACGAATCGGAGACTGCGGAAAATGTTGAGGATATGGTTACCACTAGAAGAAGTGGGAGAGTTATGGAGTGGAGAGTTTCGAAATATAAATAAACGCAAGACAAATGTTAAAACAGAATTAATGATAGAAGGGGGGTATGAAAATTTTCACGTACATTGAAGGGGGTTACGGAAATTTTTCCACAGGTTTTTGGGAGGGTATGGAAATATGTAAGTATTGAAATTTCATTTATCCTCCACCCCCCTCTAGTAATTACTTTATTACCGGTCCCTTATATGATCCCGCTTTGCCGGGATGACATTTGACATGACATTTGTCATGTCATGGTGCCCAATTCATCAAAAAACTTCATTATTTCTAGAGATAGATTATAGTTAACTGTAAACGAAAGGTTGTCCATGCAAGCTGCAATAATAATCTTCTTGAACTACAAGATCTGCTCTACAACATTTGAGTTCTGTTAACCAGCATTTGAACTTTCGTTTAGCCTAGTGACTTATTTCAATACACCAAAATCATCCCACTATGTAAACGGCCCCAAAGACGCTTGTTCAGGATGTAGGAAAAGTGCATTTTGAATACCAAACACCTTGCACAAAGTCGAAGGTCAGCTAAATATTCTAATTCTACTTTCTTGGCATGGGCGATTTTATATCAATACCTGCAATGCTTATAACTTCTTGCTTTTGTATGTTATAATTACTGTCAGTGGTGAAGCTAGCTAGCCATAACAACAGGCCATGCTATGCAAGCTTTTAATGATTTGCATGACCAGTTGCCATGGCTAGCTTGCCACTGAATACTGTACAATATCATATATAAACATTAATAATTCAAGCACGTTAGGTGAAAGAACAGCCCGAAAATAAGTAAAACACACACCAAATCATTGTGGGAGAAAACAATAATAATACTTGAATGAATCATTGGACATGTAGAATTTAATAACAATTTAATCTATAAAAATAATAAATCAGTTTTTGTCCCAATTATCGTTTTAATGGCATCTTCAAGGCTACCCCTATCACAGGACAACTGAACAATTTGCTGATGGGGAAACAAAATCTATTTGTTGACATCTTTGATTAATACGTCAGCTTCAGATGACAGAAGATGATTTGTGCGAGAAATTGTGCATATAAGCAAGGTAAAACTGTTCGTTTTAGATTCCTTAGAAATCGGGTGAAATATGAAATCCGCGTGGCGAAAGAAAGGTATTACAACGATAACATATCCGGAAATTTTGATAAAAACGACTCAAAGTGGTGGAAGAAGATCAATAAACTTACGGGGAAAGATAAATCATCTAATATTTTCTTGAGTAATCCTGAGTCCCAATCCAAAATGAATGATAAAGATATTGCAAATTACATCAACTGTTTCTTCGCAAGCTTGACCAAGGACTTTCCAGTTGTTGAGGACAAGTGGCTATCATATGGCGAAATGGAGACTTTACCCGTAATTACAAAGAAATCCGTTGCGAATAAATTGAGAAAGTTAAAACCCAACAAAGCACCTGGTCCAAACGATCCGAATGTTAAAATCCTAAAAATATTCGCGGAATATTTTGCAATACCCCTAACCGATATATTTAACGAATCCTTTAAGTCAAAACGTTTTCCAGCCATCTGGAAAGATTTCTGGGTCTCATCTATTCCAAAATGTGTACCTTGCACTAGTGTCGACGAAGTACGTCCTATGGCACTTACTAGTGCTATATCGAAACTTCAAGAGTCATTTATAGTTAACTGGCTGAATGAGAATATTAATGGTAAAATTATGGACGCGCAATACGGCGGACAATCAAGATCATCTGCGGTCCTGGCGCTTATTCATCTGGTTATGGTCTTAGACACTCCAGGCTTTGTAATCAGGATATTGTTTTTAGATTTCCGCAAAGCCTATGATGTTATTGATCACAACATATTTCTGGAAAATTGTTGTAAGATTGGCGTTCGCCCTGCACTGGTCACGTGGCTTGCTTCATATCTGAGTGGAAAAACCCAGATAATTAAATTTGGAAATGAGGTATCTGATAGGGTTGCAGTTAACGGGGGCGTACCCCAAGGTAGCAGATTAGGCCCGGCTGCATTTATTGTGCATATAAATGGCTTGCCCTCAGCACTGACGAAACGTGAGAGAACCTTTGATAATGAGGTATCTGAAGGTGATGATGATGACGTAACGTAACAATATTCATGGACGACACAACAATCTCTGAAATTATAGATGTAAAAAACCATATACCAGGCAATGTCATTGGTGATGCTGAAAGAAATATGTCAGAAGTTATGAAGTTTACGAAACAACAAAAAATGGAACTTAACCTTAAAAAATGCAAGGAAATGTTGATTGATTTAAGAAGAAACAAAACGGCTATACCATTAACTGAAATAGAGAACAAGATAATTGAAAGGGTTAATTCGTATAAGGTACTGGGGCTCTGGATCGACGACAATTTGAAGTGGAATACAAACACGGAGAAGATAATCAAAAAGCTGCGAAGCGCCTATTTCTTTTGAAAATAATAAAATCGTATGGTGCAAGTACGGATGATATGAAAAGATTTTACGTCGCAGTAATTAGACAGACGCTCAAATATGGGGCTCAGGTATGGAATAGCGGAATTACGAAGGACCAAAGTAATGAAATAGAACGAATCCAAAAACGAGCGCTGAAAATAATTTATAAGGAAGATGATTACGATAAAGTTTTACGTATAGCAAAAATGGAAAGTTTGGAGAAACGACGCGATCGAATGTGCATTGAATTAATCAAAGAAATGTCGAAGCCTAACCATAAATTACACAGTTTATTACCCAAGAAAATCTGTGAAGTCAGGAAGAGGACAACGAGGCCGAACAATCAAATGTACTATAATTTTATGGGTAAAACCGAACGGTTTAAGAACAGCCCAATCAGCTATGCTGTTAGCAAGTCCAATGAAACATTGTTTGGGTAGTTTATAGCTTTATATCTTTATAGATCTATTTTATACTCCTATTATACGTTTTATACTCTTAACATAATCTTATTTCTTGTAATGTACATAACAATTTAGCTTTTAATTGCTATTATATTTGTGCAAATTTTCTAATAATAAATAATAATAATACAAAATAAAGTTTGACCGCCCCCTCGTTTAAAAAAACTTCCTGAAGCCTTAAGGTTAATTTCCACTCCGGAAAATAAGCAGCGGATCGGGCCGGATCGGAGGTTTTTCCGATCCAACAAGCGATTTCCAGTAAAAGGACAAGTGGAATAACGGTGGAATAACCGAATCGGAAAAGGAAAAAATGGAGCTCGTTTCTGTCGCACAAATTACTATTTCACGCTCATTTCAAAATGGCAGCGGCTCTGAACAAGCGTGTACTTTATCTTATTTTGTTACGTCGTTGTCAGCAAAGGAAACGAAAACAAGAAAAATACAAAAAGAGCATTTCGTTAAGAAACATTTTCCAGGAAAGACAATGGAAAAGTGAATACCACCCACTTATTGATAGAAGAGTTAAAGCTATATGACCAT